GCTGGTTATTTTTTTTTTTTTAAATAAAAATAAAATAAAATAAAATAAAAAATAAATAATCGGAAATAAAATAAAATAAAATAAAAAATAAAAAATCGGGCGCTTAACGTCTTTTGTAACACTGCGTGCAGTTAACATATTATGTACATTTAGTTAATAAATTATGTATCTATTACAATTAAGATATTATGTGCTTTCAGTTTATTTACATGTACATAATCTGTTAACTGAAAGTATATAATATGTTAACTGTAAATATATATAATTTGAATGTCGTTTTAAACCAGGATCCTCAATATAATGCGGATAGTTATGCTGTGGAAACGTGTTCACCATGCGCATGGTGAACACAGGGGTAGATCCATAATTTCTATACTGTAGATTCATAATTTATTTTTTTTTTGAAAACGTAGATTCATAATTTTGTTTTTCATTTGTTGTTAACGAATAGATCTATAATTTCTAAGCTGTAGATTCATAATTTCTATACTGCAGATTCATAATTTCTATAATGTAGATTTATAATTTCTATACTGTAGATTCATAATTTATGTACTGTAGATTCATAATATCTGTAACAACAAATGAAAAATAAAATTATGAATTTACGTTTTCAAAAAAAAAAATTATAAATATACAGTAAAGAAATTATGGATCTACTCATATGTACACCATGCACATAATGAACACGTTTCTAGAGCATAATTTACCACATAATGCAAGATAAATCCTAGTATGATATAATTTGCAGCCCCAGGCCTATTGGGCTTAGAAGGTGAGCAAATTAGTCCAATAAATTTGGAACCAAGCGAAGAAAGCCGAAAGAATTACTATCAATTGTTATATAGTTATACCATGGCTCAGGATCCACCTTGCAAGGTAGATTCGTGTCCATGAAATAATTTGTCAATTAGTGTATAACTAATTACATGACTTTGGTCCCCTAAAAAAAAAAAACATTAATTTGGTATTCTGGCCAAACACACTATGTATTACAATTTCATACCAGTTTACAATAGAAAATAACACTTTTAACCCAATAACCCATAAGTTGTAATCGTGTTATAAAATTAATTTTTCAAATATTCACGTTTATACTTTTTTTTTTTTTTATCTCTAATTAAGTTATTAGTGAAATGACATATTTAGTTCATACAATAAAATTTTAACAATATCTTAAAGTCGGGAGTCAAATTCTACAATAATTATTTCACAGACGATGGTCCACACAAGTTGTGCGGACCATATTATGTATACTATAAAATAATGTACATTTAGTATACAAATAATATACTTTTAATATATGTAAAAATGTACTTTATTTTCAGAAAAAGTATATTATTTGAATACTGAATGTATATTATTTTATATAATGTACTTTTAGTACATTAAAAATTTAATTTCATTTATGGTAAATACAATATTATGTGGACCATGGTCCACACAATAATTTGCCCAAATTCTAGGGACGAAATATGTTTTTTTTTTTAAGAACTTAAGAACTAACAAGATTACCCTTCGCCAAGTACCTTGTACTCAGATGGCATGTAGTGATTTTTTCATATAGGAGTGTTGGAAAAATAGCATTAAAATGACATTTTGAGTGATTATTTTGTTGTACAAATATATGTGGGATCCACTTCCGATTTGGGTCGGGTCAATGTGGATTCGGGTTCTTCGTAGTAAGACGAAGAATTTGATATAATGTACGCTCAAAATGAGTAATAGGTGAATGAGAAATTGATTCTCAAAATGAACATATTTAGGAGAAGTCCAAAATACGAAAGCTTAATAAATGGGAATTGAGTTTTACCCCAATTCGTGCCCCTGCTTTCGGTCCTGTACGAAAGTAAGCTTAAGTGTAGTTAAGCTTTGTTTTGAAAGCTTAAATATGTTAATTAATCTTAAGAGCTTAATTAAGCTTTGGAATTGGGAAACCCAACAGGGTAGTTCAAGTGGAAAATGAGCTCTCTTTGTGGGGGAGAATTTGCCTTTCAAAAAAAAAAGCTTTGGAATTGGGAATATAGCAATATGCATGGACGAATGTTGCATGGACTTGAAAGCTTAAGTTTCGTGCTCCTTTCGTGCTTATGTGTGAGCTTCTTTCGTGGCTTTTAGATTCGGTGAGCACGAATCAATGTTATATGCATTGATTCGTGTTGCACCGTTTCGGTGCTTGCGAACTACTCGGGTGTGGTTTCCGGTCCCAATGTGTTAAACTTTCGGGTTTGTACGGACTTCTCGGTCACTCAGATATTTTTTTTTGAAACGAGTCGTTATGGTCAGTACGAATTAATCAGATATTAAGTTCGTGACCGTTGATATTATTTCGATAATAAGTACGACCGTTTCAAACGTCATAATTCAATTATTAAATTGAATTTATGTTGGTTAATGTGTCATGATGATGCTATTTAGTACCAATCTCCTATATAAACATGTTGTGGGAGCAACCTTTTTTTAAAAGAGTGATAGTGAGAAAGTGAGAAACAACACAAGAACACACACAAAGAAATTCTACTTTTCTTCTCAAAACTCTGCTCCTACTCCATTCTTGAAGCTGTGTTTTGCCCGTGCTCTTGTTCCCCGGGTTCGTTCATTTGGGTGCTCAAACGTCGAACCATTGTACGTTTTATCCTAGGAAACCTAGGCCACAACGCTCCTAGCACTTTTGGAAGGTGGCAAATAAGGTTTTAAGGAAAGAAATGCACTTCGTCTAACTCGTACTATTCTTTCTTCTTCTCCTTCTTTCTTGTTTTGGATTATGCTCTAAGCAAAAATTCTTTCTACTTTCTTGTTGGATTGAAATTATAATCTGAGGATTATAACCTCCATTTTTTGTTGATATATATTGATATATCTTTTTCGTAGATATATACGTATATATAACCGTTGGATCCGTTTTATATATATTTGTGATATATATATATTTCGGATATATATCCAATAATATTTTATATATATTTTCGTGTGTATATATGAATATTATTTTTTGCGATATTAAATCGATTTTGGTTCATTATCACCAACAAGGAGGTCATGAGATCGAGGCTCAGTGGGGACATTGTTGACTTTTTATGTTGCAGTAGGTTGAAAAAATATTTTTGAATAGATACTATAATGTAATAGAGTCAGTAGCATTCAAAAAAAAAAAAAAAAAAAACAAGATTACCCTTAAAAAAAAAAAAAAAAGACACAAGATTGTTAGGAGATTAACAAATATAGCTCACATCCATGTAGACCATTACTCCATCATCCATCATGCAGCACGCTGCCCTCCACTTCTCCATCATGCATTCAACATGGTCCATTTCTCCATCATATATCCTCGAGGGCAAATTATTGTGTGAACCATTGTTCATATAATACTGTATGGACTATAATAAAATGTACATTTTAATATATTAAAAATATATATATTATTCTGGTACTAAATTATTATAAATAATATACTTTTCCCGAATATAATGTACATTTTTAATATACTAATAATATATTATTTATGTATTAATGTACATTATTTAATAGTATGGTTCACACAATAATGATTCATCCTGGAGTGTCACAATGTTCTCCTCGAAAGAGGGGCTTTGACTTTTTTTTTTTTTTTTTTTTTTTTTTTTTTTTTTTTTTTTTGTGCAAAATTTAAAGTGAAGAGACAATTTTGTGTTGAAATGAAAAGTTGGATTGAAATGTGTAAAATACTTGATTGATTACCTCTTTCTTATTATAAAAATACTACAATATTGACTTCGATAGAGGAGAGAGAAAAGGTAATACCCCTACCTTTTCTCTCTCATACTAGGGGTCAAATTTGGTAAAATTACATATTTTTGGATAATTGATACATCTAATTATACTTTTTTTAAAAAATTGAATGACTCAATTATATTTTTATGTGTAATTTAATAGCTAATTTAAACCTTTTTCCTAAAATTATTTCTGCCATAACTGTTCTTAATGAGGATCAAGCCTAATCATATACACATCACTTATTTTTATTTAAAACTAGTTATGACACGCGCTTTGCGCGATTAGACCAATGCCCAATGTGTATTTATAAATTAGTGTTCCTTATTTAGTTAAAATATTCATATAATAATGAAAGAGAAAAATGTGAAATTAATAAAAGATAAAGAAATAGTTTTGGCGAAGCATCTTGTGAAATGACATGTAGTGACATCTCCCATGTGGGAGGTCATGAGATCAAGTATCACTGGAGTCGTTGTTGACTCTTTGTACTTCACGTTGTTGACTCTTTGTACTTCATTAGGTTGAGAAAGTATAAGAAATAGTCTTGGTGCTTAAATTTTAATAAAAACATAAAGAAATTTTAAATAGCTAAATTATAACTAAAGTATATAAAAACAAATAAACCACTAACTAAAATTGACTATCTATAATGAAAAGAGTAATTTGAGCATAGTAAATTAATTTTTCTTAGTGCATGCGCGTTTGTTGAGGCTCGGAATTGTCTTCATACTCTCCATCTTTAGTGAAGTTGAGTTTCCTTTTTGCTGGTTGTGTCTGTATTGCATCTTGTTAACGTGTGGTAGTGATTGTTGAGCATATAACCATTAATGTGCAATCCAACTATCAGCTTAGTCTTTTAGTTGAGATGAAGCACATGCTTCAATTTGGTATCAAAGTCAGACCAAAGGTCATGGGTCCAAATCTCTATGTCACCCGAGCTAGTCTATAATAATAAGGCTAGTGTCATTCCGCACCATGAACCATTAGCGATTCTTCATGCCGCACTCAAGTTCCGATCCACAAACTAAAAAAAATTTGTCACCTAAAACATTTTACAGGTTTCCCGGTTGCTTGATGACATGACACCGGTAATGTGTTGATGTGGACTATTTATTAAAGTCAATTCTTTTTTTTTTTTTTTTTTTTTTTTTTTTTTAAGACCTAGAAACCTCTGCCGCGGTAAACTTGAGCTCGAAAAATCTCACTGGCGAACGATGCATGTTTGAATCGTCGAGAAGCTTCAGAGAATGGGGAGAGAGGTGGCTGGACATCCGTTGTCGGCGTTGTCGTACATGGTGGAGCAACTCATCGTCGTCAATCCTTATAATTCAGACATCCTCCCTGATCTCGAGAACTACGTCAATGAACAGGTTTCTTCGCAGACTTACAATTTGGATGCAAATCTTTGCCTGAGAGGATGAGTACACAAATTGTTGCTCGCATTTTGGTCAAGGCTATGATGGCCATGCCAGCGCCAGATTTCAGCCTTTGTCTTTTCTTAATCCCAGAACTAGTGCAAATGGAAGAACAATTCAAGACTGTAATTGTTCTCTCACACTACTTGGAGACAGCAAGATTCTGCCAATTTTGGGATGAGGCAGCTAAGAGTCGTCATATAGTCGAAGATGTGTAGTCAGGCTTTGAACATGCAATTCAAATGTATGTGATTCAAGTTTTTTCATGCAATTCAAATGTATGCGACGACGACGGCAAGGTCTCCGTGAATTGCATCATGAAATCCATTGCAAACTGAAACTCAAAATTACAAAAACCAAACCTACCCAAATGCTACAAAACTTAATTACAATATTACCATAACTATGAACTCTGGGAGAGATATTACCATCGGAGCAGGAAAGTTAATCCAAACAGTGCTCTTGATCTTGGACACATCCCTGATTCCATCTACATCCATCGACAGCCCATGCAAAGGCGGGAACGCCGGAGATTCGAACAACGATGGAGACGGGGTCGCGTCGTAGAGGCCTGCCGATCACCAAACTGGGGATGGTGATCACGATTCTGATGTCGTGAGAGGGGTTCGCCGTCGTCCTAAGCATTGTCGCCAGAGTCCACAAATTCCAGATCACTTCGATCAACAATCCAAGCAGCGTATGTTGATCTAGACGCATCTGTGACCCCCTCTATAGCCTCCGATCATCCATGCATGGACTCAGACGCCGGAAAAACTTCCCGATGAAGACTGGTTCGCGACTTGCGACTTCGTAGATGGTTGCCGATCGCCAAACTAATGGTGGCGATCACGTCGCTGCGAGTAGGAGACTGCTCTGGACGGTCGCTAAGGATCATCGTTGGCATGTGTTATGAACCAACGAGGTTAATCTGAGCAATAGGATTATTTAAAGTTATTTTCCTTTTGTTTTTTTCCCTTTTGTTGTTTTCTGCTACTATTTTGTTGTTTTCTACAGCTGTTAAATTCTATCAATAGTCCCTTATTTTTAGGAGTTTGTTATTTGTCAGCCTTTTAAGAGATACTATGAAGGATTGGCAGGCTATGACATGAATGAAATCATTTTTCTTTCTTAATTCTCTCTGCAATTCTTCCATCTTTACCTGTTTTATGCAAATCTTCATCTCTTTCTCTCTGTCATTCTACTATTAGTCCCCAGGTCCTCACATTTTGGTATCAGAGCCCCTTTCCTGAGCAGAAATGGTGACCAACAAAGATAGATTCAAAGCACTACAAGAAAAACAAACAGAGTTTGATGAAAGGTTGGAGGCCACAATACAGGAAGTGCAAACCTCTAGACAAGAAGTAAGAACAAACTCAGATAGTATGATGAAAGCCTTGATAGACATGAGGGCTGAAATGATGGAGTTATTTCGCCTCAATAGGCCTACAGCACCAGTAATGGAAACACCTCATCATGGTTCCACAGTTCAGGGGAGAGGAAATGTGACCCCCACCACACAAAACTCTTCTATTCCAGAGAGGGGGGAATGCAGCCAGGAGCAGGAAAAAAGACAAATCAGAACAGCTACTCCTCAACCTCAGGCTCCAAACCCTGCTATTGCCCAATGAGAACCATTTCCTGAGTTTCAAAACCATGGACCAAGACCAAGGAGTGAATTTCCAGATTTTGACTACCAAAATCCCAGATGTGGATAAGGAGGGTAGAAAGGTATTTCATGATTTCTCAAACTCCACCAGTCTTTTATTTAGATTATTTGACAGTAAATCTGCCAGGAAAGGTAGGAGTCTGGCTAGAAGGGTATTTAAACAATCTGAGGGGTGGATTTAACTAAGGGCACTTTGTGGAAGCTATTTGTAGAAGGTTTGGCAATAGTACTACTTCTATAGATGAAGAATTCGCAGTTCTAAAGCAGATTGGGAGTGTGGAAGAATTTACTGAAAAATTTGAAGAAATGAGGAGCATGTTACTCCAAGTGAGACACTATTTAACAGATGAAAACTTCTTAGGGAATTATGTGTGCAGGCTTAAACACGTGATCAGATGCTTTGTGAGGTCAACCAAGCCAGAAAATCTTGAGGATGTCATTTGGCTGGCTAAGAACTTTGAACAAGGGATGAGGTCCATGGAATTTCTCCCTAAAAATACTCTGCAGCCAAGGAATTCAGTAGTGAGAACTGCTGAAAACTCCAAATTTACACCCTCTGGGCCGAAAGGTCCAAGAATCAACAATACAACCAGAAATGTTGAGATGGATAAACTTAGGGAGCAGAGATTATGCTTCAACTGCAAGGAGAAGTGGCAATATGGCCACAAGTGCAAACCTAATGGTCATATGGCTTCTGCTGAAGGTGGTGAGGAAGATGACATCCAAGGGCAGGAACAAGCGAACGTAACTCCATTAAGTGAAGAATGTGTAGAAGAAGCTAAAATCTCTCTTAATGCAGTAGTTGGAGGAGAGGGTATCAACGCAATTAAGTATGTACCAAAAAAAAAATCAACACAATTAAGTTACCAGGATCAATTCTCAAAAAAGATATCATTATACTAGTGGATTCTGGAAGCACCCACAGCTTCATTGACCCAGCTTTGACACATAATCTCAGACTGAAAGCATACACGGTACAGCCCCTAGTTGTAACAGTAGCCAATTGGGAGAAATTGTTATGTGATGAGATGAGTGGAAACGTAGAATGGATGATGCAAGGAGAGCATTTCCAAAAATCCTTTAGAGTGATGGAATTAGGGGGTTGTGATATGTTGTTGGGAATGGACTGGATTGATTTGTTTGCCCCTATTGAACTGCACACAAGGCCCTTAAGTATATCATTTCACAAGGATGGGAGAATGATTAATCTCAAAGGGATAACTCCCAAGAAGAGGTTGATGGAGGCTAGTAAGAAGGAGGTGAAAAATTGGCAAAGGCAAGGAGTGAAGGGATTCGTGGTTTGTATTGACAAAGAACAAGAAAGGAATGAAATACAAGGGAACTCCTATAACATTGAAGTGACAAGAGGTCCTTTAGTCCTGGCACCTCCCAGGATCAAGGAGATACTATTAGAATTTTCAGGCTTATTCCAGGAACCTAAATCACTGCCACCTATCAGGGCTTGTGACCATTCAATTCCATTGATCCCCAATGCTATTCCAGTTAACACAGGACCCTACAGGTACTCATTTGAGCAGAAAAATGTTATAGAAAGGATGTTGGACGAAATGCTACAAATTGGAATCATCAGGCCCAGTTCTTCACCTTTTGCCTCCCCAGTACTGCTGGTACCAAAGAAAGACTCAACCTGGAGGTTTTGTGTAGATTATAGAGCATTGAATGCCATCACCATCAAGAACAAATACCCCATTCCCATTGTGGAGGATTTGTTCTCAGAGTTAGCAGGATCCCGATTTTTCTCTAAGGTGGATTTGAGATCAGGATATCACCAGGTGACAATGAGGGAAGGAGAGGAGTATAAAACAGCATTCAAAACGCACCAAGGCTTATTCGAGTTCACTGTCATGCCTTTTGGTCTCACAAATGCACCTACCGCTTTTCAAGCACTAATGAATTCTGTGTTTAAGCCACTTCTAAGAAGGTGCGTGGTGGTTTTCTTTGATGATATCTTGATTTACAGCCCCAACTTGGAGGAACACTTGCAGCATTTGAGAGCGGTGTTCAACATCATGAGGGAGCAACACTTGTATGCCAAGTTAAGTAAATGTTCCTTTGCTCAACATCAAATAGAATACTTAGGGCACATTATATCTGTGGAAGGTTTACAAACTGACCCTGAAAAGATTAAAGCTGTTATGAGTTGGCCCAAACCTCACACTGTCAAAGAGCTTAGAGGGTTTTTGGGATTAGCTAGATACTACAGGAGGTTTGTGAAGGGTTATGGAATCATCTGCAAGCCTCTCACCAATTTATTGAAGAAAAATGCCTTTAGTTGGGACCAAGCTGCAGAAATAGCCTTTGAAGAGTTAAAACATGCCTTGTGTACTGCCCCTGTACTAGCCTTACCTAACTTCAACTTGGAATTTGTTGTGGAATCTGATGCTTGTCATAAGGGTATGGGAGCAGTTCTCAAGCAGGAGGGGAAACCCATTGCCTACTACAGTCAAAGATTTAATTCTAAGCACTTAGGACTATCCATTTATGAGAAGGAGTACCTCTCCATCATCAATGTTGTGGATAAATGGAGAGCATATCTCCTTGGCACTTTGTGATAAAAACAGACCACCAGAGTCTAAAATTTCTGCTAGAACAGAAAATTACCACAGCATTGCAGCAAAAAGGCTTAGTCAAGTTATTGGGACTGGACTTCTCAATCCAGTATAGAAAGGGCATAGAGAATGTGGCTACAGATGCTTTGTCAAGAATGGATGAGGGAAGCCACGCCGAGAGTAGCATGGTAGCATCAACTCAACCTAAATGGATGGAGGAAGTTCTGGAGAGTTATAAGGATGATGAATGGGCTAAGGAACACCTCACAACAACACTAATTGTCTCTGACAACCCGGATAAATTCACAGTTACTAATGGGATGCTGAGATACAAAGGGAGGTTATACGTGGGAAACCATGGAAACTTGAGAATGAATCTTTTGAGTGAGCTACATTCTACTGCTTTGGGGGGACACTCTGGGCAATTGGTCACTTATAAAAGGATGAAAAACTTGTTTTATTGGCCTGGTACTAAGAAACAAGTTATAGACTTTGTCAGGGAATGCGATGTTTGCCAAAGGTGTAAGGGAGAACAGATTCTTACTCCGGGATTGCTTCAACCGCTTTCAATACCTGAGGAGGCTTGGTCCAGTATTTCTATGGACTTTATTGGAGGTTTGCCTAAATCTCATGGAAAAGATATGATCTTGGTTGTAGTGGATAGGTTGACAAAATATAGTCACTTTTTAGCATTATGTTATCCTTTTAGTGTTGAACAAGTGGCTGAGTTATTTGTGGATCAGGTTTACAGGCTGCATGGACTGCCCCAAAATATTTTCTCTGACAGAGATAAGATTTTTCTAAGAAAGTTCTGGAAAAGTTTGTTCAAACAGATTACAGTCCAACTTAGCTATTCCATAGCTTACCATCCTCACACAGATGGCCAGACTGAGAGGGTGAATAGGTGTTCGGAGACATATTTGAGATGTATAACCTTTCCAAAAGCCAAGACAATGGGTAAAGTGGTTGTCACTAGCAGAAT